CAATGGTTAGAGTTTCAGACTAGGATCTGGGAATCTCGGGGTTGAATCCCCATGCTGCCATGGAAACCTCCTGGGTGACCTTGGGCCAATCACACTCTTTCACCCTAGCATACCTCACAGGGTCATTATGAGAATAAAATGAAGGAGAGGCGAATCACACAAGATGCTTTGGGTCCCCATTGGGGAGAAAGGCAGCGTATACATGAAGTTAAAGTACTCAGCATATGATTTAGAACAAAATCCAAAGTGAAGCATAGCTACAGAATTATCCCGCCCCCCCGCCCCAATTTTCTGCATTTGCTATCTTGAGTTACTAACTGTAAGGCTAAGTCATGATACATTTTTACAAGAGGGTACACACTGTGACCAAAAAAAACCCCTCCATAAAACAAAAAACCAGCCTGGGAATAGGCAAGGCATACTGATACAGATTTATTTTAGGACGTTACATACCAGAGAATGTTTGAGAAAGAAATAGGAAATAACATTGAGTCTTGTACATCAGCCAGATTGCTAAAGAATTTAACATCCTTTTTCCAAGCTCTCATCAACCTTTGCTATAAATAAGGATGCCGACCGAATGCAAGTCGGTAAGTACTGAACCACATGATGAACAATGTCAGTATCTTCCAGGCTTCCAGAAAATCATTAATAGTCATCCAGAATCCAGCTGGCGGCGGGGGGGGGGGGGGGGGAGGCTTTCTTCACACTGCATTCTGTTCTTGCCCTCTAGCAAGCACAAAGTTCTTAAATACAGATTACAGAATGATAGCATACCACCTCTTTGAATTTTGCTAGATCCTGGGGTGCTTTCAAATCGAGCATCCAGTAGGTGACTTGTACAGAATTAGCACAAAGGGCAGCTCGCTAATAATTGCCAACATCATCTTGACATTTTAACATATGTCAAATAATCATAGGGTAGCTTTTCCTGACAACACATTTTATAGGTTGCAGAGAAAATTTCTTTTAAAAGCCTACACATCTAAAAATAACGAACCGCTTTAAAACTGAGATTAGTCACAAGTCTTTACCCAGGAATGATTCAATCATGGTTGCAATTTCCCCCAAAGTTCAGAGTGAACCCAAACATGAAAAGTGTTTGTCTGTTCATCAGTTTTCATTCTTGCTGCTGATGGAATAGCCACCCAGAGATCCGACAGTGATGAGCGTAAACAATAGCACATTCTGAAACATAATCCATGGGGTTATTTTTTCCTGCTAACATGACAGAACAGAGACCATTTTTAAAAGGGATGGGAAAGACAATGGGAAGAGGCCACGCCAGGAGGTGGCTACCCCCACCCCCAACACACAAGCAGTTACTTTAACATTTCTTTTCCCTCTTGGCAAAGTGCAGCCTCATCATTTTTAACCCCTCCTGATAGGCAGTCCTTGTTCTGAAACACAGCTGCATACCTGCACTGAAGAAGAATTTCATAGAGACAGAGAGAAAGGAAGAAACATAGTTATCCTCACAAGAAGAAAGGAAGCTTACACAGGAGAGGCTACCAGTGTAGAACATGTGTTTTAAACCGGGGTCTATCACCACCAACCATGATAAAGATACTTCTTCAAAACCGGATGTCACAACTCCTTTCAGAAACATGGTGCAGAACAGAAAAACTATTATTGCGCGATCAATATTTGAAGAAGACATACAAAAGCAATCTGGAGGCAGATGCAAACAGATGCAAAACAGCTGGTTGCAAATGGGCTGAGCGAGAATGAGAGGGATTCCAAATCAGGCAACAACCAGGAACCTATGAGGAAGCTACTCCCAAATGGTGCACTGGAACCTGTTGGCAAGTTGCAATACAGCAAGGCATCAGGGACCCCCCAAAAATATACTGGGGCAATGCTATCCTTAAAGGGTATTTTGAAAGGTAGCTTTCAGGTCAGGGACTGAGGCTCACTGTCAACCCAAAAGTAAATACAAGATCATTGGCTGTGGTCACACGGAGCATTAGCCACGCTACAGAGATGGAAGATAGGCAGATTTTCCGGGCGCAATCACAGCGCCACATCTGGGAAGCGTAGAGCTCCCGTGGTGAACCCGAGGCTTCCCGCCGAAGATGCGAGGTAAAAACTAGTACCTCCGAGGTACTAGTTTCTGGAAACCGTGGGGCAAGGGCGGGCGCCTGATCGCGTTTCCGGTGGTAGGTCGTGGCATCCGGTGCCCTCCCATGTCCCGTCGCTAAAAGTTTTTTTTTCCCCAAGTCTCCACGGGATGCGCAGAAGCACTCAACGGCGCATGCGCACACTTCGTTTAAAAACAAACAACACAGCCCCCTCCTCTTTTCCGTACCCCCCCACTCCTGGCTCGGCCTGCTCGAGAGGAACTCTCTCCACCGGGCGGCAGAGGGGGAGGTGCAGGGGGGGCATGGCAGGAGGGCAGCCCGGCTGAAGCTCCTCCTGGAGGGAACCGGACAGAGGACACAGTTTGCATTCCTCTGCAGCCCTGGAAGGGGTTAAACCCGCAGAGCCTTTTGCTAGAGAGGCCGCTTCTTTGCCGCACCGCAGGATTGTCCTGTGATCGGCACCTCCCCCCTAACCACGGGACCTCGACGGGACCTCTACGGGACGTCTGATCAACCCGGGTTATTTTGCTCCGGGGCAAATAGCCACGCTTCCCCCTCGTATTTTCCTGCCCGTGTGACCGGGGCCATAGTCTGGCAACATCATTTGTCTCCAAAAGATGCTGTTAATACCAACATAATGGAATGGAGAAGAGGCACACGAAGCGGCCATACACAGAGTCAGACCACTGGCCAGTCAAGGTCAGTACTGTCCATTCTGGCTGGCAGCAGCTCTCCAGGGGCTCACGTAGAGGTCTTTTAAATCACTTACTACCTGTTCTTTTTATCTGAAGATGCCAAGGATTAGGCATGGGACCGCAAAGCATCTACTTGAACACATGACACTTATACTGAATCAGACTATTGGTCTACTACAGCCAGTACTGTCTACTCAAACGGGAAGCAGTTCTCCATGGTCTCATGCAGAGATCTTTCATACCAGCTACTGCAAGATCCTTTAACTGGAGATGCCGGGGATTGAACCTGGGACCTTCTGCATGCCAAGCAGATCACAGAATCATAGAGTTGGAAAAGACCTCCAGGGTCATCTAGTCCAACCCCCTGCACAATGCAAGAAATTCACAAATACCTCCCCCCCCCACCCCCAGTGCCTGCTGTTCCACACCCAGATGATGACCAAAAAACCTTCAGGATCTCCAGCCAAACTGGCCTGGAGAAAAATTGCTTCCTGACCCCAAAGTGGCAATCAGCATTTCCCTGGGCATGTAAGAAAGAGCCACAAGAACTAAGCACTGATGCAGCCCTTCCTGCCCTCCCTCTCATTGTCTGCTTGTCTCTTCCCCACGACTAAATATCACCTACCCTTACCTGACTGGCAGTTTCTCTCTAGGGTGGACTTTCATCCTACCCTACCACCTGATCCTTTTAACTGGAGACACAAGGGACCGAATCCTGGGCCTCCTGCATGCCTAGCTCTACTGACCAGCCATGGCCTCCCCCCTCCCCCCACAGCGACCAAAGATGGGCTAGGGTTCCCCAGCAGCAACTACAGGAAAACAGGATGAAAAGATGCTACTGACAATCCAAGGGCATTAAAACTGGACAGCTGTATGTATGAGATCTGTAATATCAAGTGCTTTCAGCACGACCGACCAGACCCTATAAAACACCTGTAGGATGAAAGAATGCAAAGGTTTCAGGGTACTTGTTTTCTGTAGAAGAGGTAAGAACCCATGGTTCAGTAGCAGAGCCTCTGCTCTGTATGCAGACAGTCCCAGGTTCAATCCCAGGCATCCCCAGTTAAAAGGATCAGGTAGCTGGTGATGTGAAAGGTCACCACCTGAGACCACGGAGAGCCAGGGCATGCCATTAGACAATACTGACCTTGGCAGACCAATGATCTGACTCTCTAACAAGGTAGCTTCACGTGCTCACGAGAGGAGGACGGCTTGAAAACCAGCACGATATACTTTTATTTTATTTTTTTTTCTCCAAAGACAAGCGAAAGTACTTATAGGGAGGGGGAAAGTACCGGTGTTGCGAGGTGCGGCACGGTAAAGGCTATGCGCAGACAGGGGGGCGTGTCGCTTTTGGGGAGTAGGATCTCCCCCCCCCCCCCCGCCGGCGGGGGGGGGGTTCCCC